CCATCAATTATAAGAAATATCGCCCCGCCTAAAAAAAAAAAAAAAAAAAAAAAAAAAAAAAGAAGCAATCATGAGGGCTGAGCCCCCATGATGGGATTAGTGCCCTTTTAAGATGAGGAAGACACTAGATGTCTCTTCTCTCTCCCTCTTCCCTACCCCCGACCTCTGTGAGGATTTAGCAACAAGGTGGTGTCTGCAAACAGGAAGTGGGCCTTCTGGTCCCTGAAGCTGCAGACACCTTGATCTTGGACTTTCCGGCCTCCAGAACTGTGAGAAATAGATGTTTGTCATTTAACACCCGCCCCCCCCCCACCAGTCTATAGTGTTTTGTTATAGCAGCCCAAGTTGACTAAGACATAGATGTATGTAGTGGAATATTCCAAGCCATTAACACTATGGGGAGGACTTTTATTTATAGGAATCCTTTAACGTGAAAGAAATAATCTCAAAGCAACACATAGAGCATAATATAGTTTAAGGTACAATGTGTGTGGGAGTGTGTCTCTGTGTTCAGGAATAGGATGGGATCCCTCAAAATGTCAGTGGTGGGATTTCCAGTGATTTTTAAATTTTCCTTGTAAGAGTCTGTATTGTAGGAATTTTTACAATGATTTCTAAGTAAAATTATAAATTAAAAATGAAAAGCAGCTGTTTTGATTGGGACGTGGGCAAGGAGGAGAAAGGGAAGGAAGGAAGGAAAGATTGATCTTTTTCCAGCAAACAACAAAACTGTAACTCATTCATTTTATTTCCCACACAATACTTATCATTGGATTAATTCTTGCCAAATTGAGATGATCATATTTGGGAATTTGAACCACAGGGTTCCCTAGGTTTTCAGTTGATTGCAATGGGAACGGCCATCAGCCAGGCACTGCCAACAGAGTGGGAGGGAATGTCACTCCCCCATCCTCTATTTGGTCCTCACCTTGAAGAGAAAGTACTCTGAGGAGCCCCTGAGGTTTTCAGAAAAGGGAAAGGGCTGGATGAAGCTCAGGATGCACCAAGGTGTTCACCGCTGACCTGCGCAATGTCCCCACCCACTGTCCCCTGCCAAACGAACACTCATTCCAGAATGCACTTGAGGACAGCAACCATTTGCCACAAGTGCCTTTCCATATTTACCAACTTAATCCATTCCTCACACAGAAAGAACAAAATCGAAATTCCTGCCCAAAGAGAAGAATGTAAAAGCAATGTATTTCTGAGACAGTTTGCTCTGCTAACAGTAAGGAGTGTACATAAAGTGTCCTTTTAGCTCAGTGATATAAAATAGCCCCCTTTCCCCCCCACATAGCCTCCATATAAGAGTGGTCCACATAAACACACAAAGTAGGAGAGTCAGTACAAACTTTATTTCTCAATAGTGAAGATAAGTATGAACTAAAGCACAGAGAGGTGCAAAGGTGGATGTCTTCTAGGATAGAATTCGTTTTAGGCTAAAACACGATGAACTGAATCTAAAATGGTCACTGGTGTGCAGGTCTCATGCATTATTGAAGAGATCTTCGTATATAATGCATTACTCACTCCTTCCTTCCTCCAGATGGAATCACTTTGAAATAAATCTGTTGGTGAAGCCACTTAAATGACTTCATTGCCGGGGACTTGGGAGTTTTAATGAATTAAAAGTTCACGTCTCAGTTCTAAAACCCAGTAATGCACTGACCAAAGGATAATATTTGTGGAGGACAAAAAGATAAATTACTTCTAGCCTACAATGCCTAGACTTTCCCCCATACGAATATAAAATAAAAGCACCACAATCAGCCTCAATACTCAACGTGACATAATTAAATTCCTGTGAGGTCAGACTTAAGACGGATGGAATGCTCACATAAAAAAGACTCTTCTAGAAATAATGTAGAAATAATGTTCATGATCATAGGAGGCTGGTGATAAAGCTTTATTTCTAAATTTCACCTTGAAAAGGTTATTTGAAAATTAGCACAACAGATGCCAATTCAAAAATCCTTTCTTCCCTAATGACCCAAAAATTATCTAGAAGAGCAAATTAAAGCATTCAGATAATTTTCAGGTGTCACTTAATTAATTAGAAGTAACACAGGAAATTGTGAAAAACCCATTTGTCTCTTCAAAAGAAATGTCTATTAATGTCCTTAGTGAGTGTGATTATTTGTTTTTTAGTGGCTGGACATCCACATGGTTAGAGAGAAGGGGATGGTCTTCTTCAAACAATTTGAGCTTCTTGAACTTACCAGTTTTCACAGATGGCTGCTTACCCTCCCCTTCCTCTAGCAACTGGCAGGTGGACAAATGAGCATGACCTTTCTGGAAAGCAACTGGACCCTATATCTCAAGAGTCCTGCATATGTTCATCCATTTCGATTTGACTGTCCCATTTCGTGTGGGAATTCTCAAAGAAGGTCACAAAGCAACCAGAACTTATTCTAGAATTATCAATTATGCCAAACAATTATAAACAATCCTAATGGCTCCGCGCCTGTGGCTCAAGTGGCTAAGGCGCCAGCCACATACACCTAAGGTGGCGGGTTCGAATCCAGCCCGGGCCCGCCAAACAACAATGATGGCTGCAACCAAAAAATAGCCTGGCGTTGTGGCGGGTGCCTGTGGTCCCAGCTACTTGGGAGGCGGAGGCAGGAGACTCGCTTGAGCCCAGAAGTTGGAGGTTGCTGTGAGCTGTGATGCCATGGCACTCTACCCAGGGGCATAGCTTGAGGCACTGTCTCAATTAAAAATAAATAAATAAATAAAAAATAAACAATCCTAATGCCTAACCATTAGGAAATGAAAACATAAACTTTAGCCACAAAATGGAATATTGGGCAGCAACTAATAAAAACCTTAAATGGCACATGAAACAGGATGGCAGAGTTTGGTATTTTCCTGAGGGGCTTCTGCAGAACACCAGGCCCTTGAGGTCCTTTTTGGAAAAAAAAGATTTCTCAGCCAAACAAATTTGAGAAACACTACATCTAATAATATTCCCTTGGAGGTTTCAAAGTATTATTGATACACTAAAAGCTTTGAAAATTTCCACAGTAGAAAACTCTATTTATTCTGGTTTGAGCTCAGAATTTGCCACTCATTTTCCTTTACCTTTTTCAAGCCGTACTTATTAACATCTGGGGATAAGTGTGGTAAGGACCCACCTTAGGGGAAGAATGTGAGGATAACTAGTTTCAGAGTCCTGAGGCCTGCTTTGGCTCTATCCTGGTTTTCATATTTTGTGAAATAGGGGTTGAGGTGGAAGGTGGGGCCAGAGATGGTAACAATGGTTTTCCCAACTCTGGGATAACGTTCCCAGCCTTGGAAGGAAACCTCTCACCTTACTCTGCTCTTCCCATGACACATGCCTCTCTCTCCCACCCTGCACTATCCTCTGGTAAGACACTGGTAAACGCTATTCCAGGAAATCTCATCCTCCAGACCACCTAGTCTGTCTTCAGCAAAATTCTTTAAGTGCAGGTTTGTGGCATCATAAATTCCAAAGCAGCAAAACCCTGCAAGTCAGGAATGAGCAGTGGTGGAAATTACATGAAGTTTCTAAACAAGCACAGTTCCAGCTGGGCTCTGCTTCCGCGGATGAGAATTATCCAAGCCAGAATGGCCTGGCAGTGGCTCCTGGAA